TGGACTTCCTGAGCGGCGCGGTCCCACTCCCCCAGGCCCTAGCCCGAGTCCCCACAGGGTCATGGCACCTTCCACAGACAACTGCTGACTCGGAGATGTCTTTTCTGGCTCAGAGTTCGCTGAAGGCCAGAGTGGCCCCTCGCTGGGCTGGAGGAAGTGGAGCCGTTCCCCTCCCAGGAGGGTAAAGGCCAGGCCTCACAAGGGAAGCGGAAGCCCCAGCTCAAGCAATCCCAGGCCACACGCCCATTCCCATCTCCTTGGATCCAGGCTCCAGGAGCGGGGCGGACGGGCCTGCAGGGCACGGCAGGGGCATGTGGACCCTGCTTCCTGGCTCCCCGTTGACAAGGAGTCACCAAGTATCTGGCACCAAGATGGGTCCTGCCCCCGACCCCAAGAATCCAGCCATCACTTCCCAAACCACGGGCCAGGAGTCAAAGGTACAGAGATGGACAGGGCAGTGCCTGCCCAACAGTTCACGGAGACACTTTGTGCACTACGACACAGCAGGGCCAAAGCGAAGGCACTGGCTCTGTGCGGACAAGCACGGAGGAGAGTGCGAAGGGAGAGGAGGGGCCTGGGAAGGCGATTTGGGCCTGGACGCTCAGACATACTTCCCCTCAGCAAGCTTGCAGCCACGGTGGGGAACGCCAGCCACCCCCAGGAGGAGCCAGGGAGCGCCACGTGGCCGAAAATGACGCACACACATACGTTGGAGAGGCCAGAGGGCCTGGACAGAAGGGAGGTGCTGGGGGAATGTCCCTGGGAGCCTGGCGCAGTTTGATAGACCAGACAGATGCAGAAAGTCACGGCGCTCTCAGTTCTCGAGCGCTGACCAGGTGCTACGTATAAAAGCGCTAAGTGTTTCACATATACTTTTTTGTTTTCTCCTCAGGCCACCCTAGGAAGCAGTTACCATTATTATCCCAATTTACAGATTGAAAAATCGAGGCTCAGAAATAGTCACATAGCTAGGAATTGGCGGGGCCAAGATTCCAACGCTAACGTCCAGTTCTTCGCCACCATGCTGTACCCTGTCCCTAACCTGTGGGTGGGCAGAGGGTAGGTGAGGGTGCCTCGGGTGGGGGAACCAGGGAGGGCCAGCAGGGAGGTGGGACCTCACACTGCCCATCTGAGGGGAGGTGCCGAGTTCTACCACGTTGAGGCTGTGGTGTGTGTGCACGTGCTCTTGGGCATGCAGACACATGGCCTACTTTACAAAGGACAGATCCCAGGTCCCAGAACCCCAAGAGCCCCCCATTAGCAGATCAGGGAAGGAAGCCCAGAGAGTAGCAGGAATTCGCCTAAGGTCACACAGCACACAAAGAGCCCCGCTAACCCCAAGGACCAGAATACAGGCCTCTTTCCTCCCTCAGCTGCCCCTCCATGTCAGCGCAGAGTGAATCAGCTGCTGCCAGGAAACCCACGGTGGAGGGGGAACCCCGGGAGTGAGTCGGGAACACGCAGCCTCAGCCCCGGGGAGACGCTGGCTGGGCCTGCTAGAGGCCGGGGCCTGGGGTTGGCTGCCTCTTCCCAGGCAGTGCGGGGCGAGGGAGGAGGGGAGCAGCGGCACGTCCCACATCACCGGACCGTGTTTACCTCTGGGCTTCCCTCCCAGCTCCGCGGCCCAGGCTTAGAGGAGGGGAAGCGGTGGGCAGGGCAGTTCCTGCTGAGATTAAACCGGCCCCCCACCCCGGCCCGGCGGCCAAGCAGCCCTGGCTCTTCCCTCCCTTCCCGCCTCTCGCGGAGCCAACTCCTGGCCGTTTGATGCTCTTGATTAAATCATAACCGCCCCCCTCCGAGCTTCCCGTGGGGCGGAGGAAGTGGGCATAACGGTTTGGAGCAGGGGCCAAGTTAAAGCCGGGGGTGCCAGCTGGCCCCAGATGCTCCAGATCCGAAGGAACGCTCAGGGCTTGGGTCTGCTCAGCCCTGTGCTAGGAGGGCCTGTCCAGTCCTCCAGGGAGCAGGCGTAGGGTCCCCGGAGCGAGGGGGATGGCCGGCGGGGGCTTCCAGGCCTCGAGAGGGGGCTACCGCATGGCAGAAACTTCAGAGGAGCCCAGAGAACCCAGAATCCCCCCATTGTGGGAAGCTTGTGCCTCACTGCCACCCCTGCCAGATACAGCATGAGGCTAACCTCTCACCCCCGTCCTCCCCGGGCCGGGCGGGGGGGCACTTCTCCCTGCCCACCCCACTCCCAGACCTGCCAGCTGGCTCAGGCTTCTGCCACCCAGACGCCTCCCCTCATGGGCGAACACAGGGCTTCGTGGGTGGCTCCTCCCCACCGCTCTGCAGCACCCACCACCTTCCCCAGTGACCCCCCCCAGTACAGCCACCTTCCCGAGCCCCTGCTGTGTGCCACGGGCCAGGCAGGGTAGGGGAACAGATAAGCAGGCTGGAACACCCCCCCCCATGGAGCCTTTGCTATCTCTGTGACTGGTGCCCCTTCTTTCACTTCCAGTTGCAGATGTCCCCAAAACTATCCGGACCTCTTCTTCCCCGTCACCACGGCCACTGGTTCAGTACCACTGCTGGGTCCCCCTCCCAGCACACCTGCTACAGGCTGCCTTTCCTGAGCTACCCTTCTGTTGGGTCACTTCCCAGCTCAAAAACCTTCAGGGGCTCCCACTTTCTACCAATTAAATCCAAACTTCTCACCTTGGCATTCAAGGCCCTCCACGAGTTGATGCCACCTACCACTCCCACTACAGTGTGAGGTCCCACATTTCGGCCAGACTGAACAACCCAGCAGTTTCTCAAGAATGCCCTGAACAGGCTGTCCTCCTTGCCTTTGCCTAGGCCTTTTCCTCTGCCCGAGACACGGTCTTCACTCTTGCTGCCGAAACCCTCCCAATCCTTATGGCTCCGAAGACCCTCCAATCCTTTCTTCATTTATCGTCTATCAGAGTCCCTGGTACCCTGCCTAAGCCCCTTTGCAGAAGGTAAGCAACCTGAGGGTTCAGGCCTTGTACGGTCGCTTGTCACTCGTCATGTGGGGCAGGGGTGGTGCTGGGGAGGGCTTTCTGTTGAGGCTTACTAGGTGGGCACTGTTGAAATGAACATCGCCTCCTCCCCACCACAGGCACCACCTACCGGGCCCTCTCCATCCACACTATACCGAACTCTAATCTTATGCCACTGAAATGCTTGGAGAGTCTGTGGCCCCATGTTGGTGCAAGCCAAACCAGGACTTAGGAACCCAAACAGAAAGTCCTGCTTAAGTCTCACCAACTCCAGCAATCTTCCTTATCTCCTTCCCCCACCCCCACCCCCACCCTGGTTTCTCAAATGTCTCCTCTCTTCGGAACACCTCCCCGGGCCCTACACACACACACACACACACACACTGTCTCCTGCACATACTGCAGCCTCCAATCAGACTCTGTCCTATAGTATTTTCCAGCTGGTTGCACGGTGTACAGCTTATCCCCCCAGAAGATGTGGGAAGCCAACATGCAGCACCCTCACTGTTCTTTGGTGCCCGACCCTGCTCAAACAGACAACAGGTGCCCACGCTGCCCCTCACCTCTGCCCCAAGGCAAGCATGCAATGGTATAGCTGGATTCCAACCACCAGGGCAGTACAGACCCATGAAATCCCATCTGGCCTGGAGCCCTGGGTGGCAATGATCCTCTTCTGCAGCGACACGGTGGGCCTATGGGAGCCCTCACTGTCAGCAATTCAGGATGGGGGCAGAGCCAGGCCTGGCTGGTTCGCCTCTGCATCCTCTAGCTCTGTCTGGGATACAGTAGGCACTCAGTAGACACTGGCCAATCTCATGCAATATTATAGAAAACCCAGCCACTGTCAGCTCCAGATGACACACTCCCAACTCTCAAATGAACAGAGTAATGTTGCTGGTGGGTGGCAATTTCTGGCTCTCACAAGGTCAGGAGGGGCTGCAGCCAGCCCGAGCCTTCCCCCTCAACTCCCCACCCCAGAGAAAGGGCTCATTCCCCAGCAGGAAGCCAGCCCATCACCTGCCCATCCACATCAGGGCAGCTGTCACATACCGAGGCCTTGCTGGGCACCTGGCGCTTGCTAAGCACGGTATACACATTATTCTATTTAGTGCTCGCTGGTACCGTTGGATGCTGCCATTATCCCCACTTTACAGAGGAGGAAACTGAAGTTTGGAGGGGCAGTAGCATCCAAGTCAGTTTGGTCCCAAGGCCCCAAGCCTTTGACCACTGAACTCGGCTCCCCAGCTACCGTGGCCGGCACAGGACACCCACTGCCACAGGGCCAGAGCCCTCTAGCCCAAGAAATGAACCTGGGTATGCAGCAAGAGCTGCTGGTGCCCAGGGCTTGACGCTGGGCCCAAGGTTTGGTGTCTTCCCTTCTTTTCCCACGCACCAGGGTAAGAACTGTGCCCCAGTTTTTGCCCCCTCTCAGCCTCTCAGGCCAGCTCACCTGGAAGTCTGGCTGACCCGCTGAGTTTGCGACTTGAACCCGTCTTAGAGGGCCTTGCTCAGTTGAGCTATCAGAATTGGTGAGAGGTGGGAGTAAGGGGGGAATCGAAACCTCTCTGCTTTGAGCGCCCCTTCCCCAGGACTTGTGGCTTGGGCTCCAGCCCCATGTGAGGAACCAGTGTGACCTTTAAAGCGATTCGCTTCGCTCAGTCCCATTTTGCAGGGAGAGGAACTGGACAGCACAAACACCTGTGGCTGAGCTGCAGCCTGCTGTCACCTGCCAAGCCTGCCCTTCCGGGCTTTTAGTGAGAAAGGGCCACTGGAGCGTGGAGTTCACCTGGTTCAACTTCCTCCTACTGGAACCTACCGTAGGTTCAGAGCCAGGTCGGGGGACAGACTCGGGGTCACACAGCTGGTGCATTGGGGGGCCAGAGAACTGGGGGTTCAGGCTAATGCTCCTTCTCCCCACCAGCTGCCCCGACCTGTCACTGTTTGCGAGAAGGCTGTCGGAGCCAGCTGCGCAAGCGGGAGCGAAAACTAACTTTGTTTCTGGTTGTCCGGCCGGCCTGCCTCGGCCCCTGCCCCTCGTCTTACCTGCTGGCTCTGTTTTCGCTCCGCGCTGCGAACCCTGCGTCGCCCGCTCGCTCCCCAGTCAGCGTCCGACTGCGCAGCGCTTGGCTCGGTCCCTCCGCGGTCCCCTCCCGGACGCTGTGGGGGAACGCAGCGGCCGCAGCCAGGCCCCGCCCCTCCGGAGGCCCCGCCCCCGAGCCCTGCGGGAAGGCCCAAGGGTCCGGCCAGACGAGGCCCCGCCCACCGGCCGCCGCACTCCGCACCCCGCACAGCGGTGAGGCCCGCCCCCCGCCCCGCCGCCTCCCGCACTCGGTGCCTTCCAGCCCTCCCGAGCCCTGCCCGCTCCCAGCCCTACCTATCGGTCCCGCCCCTCTGCGGCCCTCCGCACCCGTCCCCGTCTCTTCCCGGCGGCTGGTGGCCCCCCCAGCCCCCCATCGCCCCGCCCCCATCGCCCCGCCCCCCATCGCCCCGCCCCCTGGCCCTCCACGGGGAGGCCACGCCCCGGCCACGCCCCCTCCCCCAGGCCTGGCCTCCGCGCCTCCCCAGTCGCGCCCAGCCCTGCCAACCCCAGCTCTGCGCCGGCAGCCCTGGGGGCCCCCACGCTGGTCTTCCAGGGCGGGTGTATCCGGGTGCAACCGGGGAACGGCGTGGGAGCGGCTTGCGTTCCCAGCCGGGGCCTCTATCGGGAGGCAGCACTTTTTGAAAATGCTAACAGCTCCCGTTGATTGAACCCTTGCCAGGGCCAGGCTCCATGCCAAGCGCTGTGAAAAGTACTGGCCCCTGAATTCCCACAGCTCACGGGTACTCATATTGCGCCCATTTTGCTGATGCCCAGTTTAAGGCTTGGAGAAGACAAGTCCCCGGCTCTGACTCTCACGGGGGAGGCGGCGGTGAGCGGGATCCGGCCTCAGGCCCTGAATCACAGGCGTGCCGCTGCCCCAGCTTGCCTGGCCCGGCCCCTGGAGAAGTGGCCCAGGCCAGCTGCTGTTGGGGCAGTGCCCAGCAGGCTGCCTGGGGTGGGGGAGGGGGTGTGGGTTGGTTGAGGTGGCAGGAAGGGCTGTGGGCCTGCACCCTCAAAGCTGGCTTTCCCAAAAATGTGGCCCAGAATTAAAGTGGGCTGCAAAAGATCTCTAGGTGGCGTGGGGCCCAGCCCTTTGCACTCCCAGACTCCAGGGACCAGCCTTGGGCAGGTTAGCTGGTTAATGACCAGGGCCACTCACCTGTGCTGCTGACAAGGCGCTTTCCTGCCCATTATCTCACTGGCATCTCACAGCAGCATTGTGGGAAGGGCATGATTACAACCCACCGTTTTGCATGGGTGGAGCAGGGCAGGGCGCTGGATTCCAGCCCAGCACAGTAGTTCTCAAAGCGTGGTCCTTAGACCAGCAGCAGCGTCATCTGGGAACTTGTGTATTTTGAGGCCCCATCTCAGTCCTACTGAATGGGAAACTGTGGGGCAATTTGTTTTAACAAAGCCTCCGGGTGATTCTGAGTCACACTCAAGTTTGAACCACTGCTGAGCAAACTGTAAAGAAGTTAGGGTGGTCTGAGAATCACACAGACTTAGCCTCCTCCTAGCTTTTTAACCCAGGGTGAGGCGAGGTATTTAACCTCTCTAGGAAGAGTCCTTAAACAGGGAATCATAACAACAGCAATAACGATAATGCCAGTCTTGAGGGTGGCTGTTGAAGGCTCAGTGTGACAGTGTTCATGACGGTGTGAGCCATTGCTTGCACGTATGCATGCTCAATGATGTCCTCTTCCCAGTACAATGTATCCTTTTCAGAAGCTCCACACCGAGTTGGGGGAGCTGGGCTGGGGAATCCTTTAAACTCAGCAGTGTCCCATCTGGTTGTTCTCCCCACAGAGGGACACCATCTATCCTGCAAGAGGTCAAAATCCTAATAAAATCCCAAATGATGTGGGTTCTGGTCCAGGGTCCACGTTTTGAGAAGCACTGTGCTATTCTGTCGTGAGCTGGGCTCCAGCTCCTTATCCTACCCAACCCATGCAAAATGGGCATAAAATACCCTCCTCTCCCACCCTGCTTCATACTCCTTCCCTCCAAGCTGGGGGTGTCTGTGATGGTGACTGGGAATTGCAAAACAGCTGGATCCTGTCAGCCCTCTCTCCCCCCAGGCAGACATTCCCACCATTAGTCCCATCTGCTCCCCCTTCCTGTCTCTGCCACTCCAGATTAGAGATGGAGGCAGCTGTGGCTGCATGGAGGGCAGCCTGTAGGCCTTCTGGAATCTCTGCCATACCCCACCACCACCCTCTGAGCCCCATAGAATAGGGTCTCCCTGCAGGACTCTTAGCCTGGAGCACTGGTCCTTTTTTGAAGCCCTACCCCAACATGAGCAGCCCATTAGGAATGCAAATCGAGGACCACCTACCTTGTATTTAAACATTTAACTGACTATAAAATGAAATATATGTATCCTACCTTGACAAATATTCTTTATAATGACCAAGAAGATCGTGTTCAAATTTAGAATTCTTGGACTCTTTGGAATTACATGCAAAAACATGGTAGTGTGGGAAGGTCAACCTGACCCCAGCTCTCAGGCCACCCACTCCTCTTCCTGGCCCCATCTCTATTGTGTGTCACGAGTGGCCTAGGACTTTGGCATGTGAACACTCTAGTCCACATGCCCAAACCCTGTCCATGCACTTTGCGTATAGCCATGTCTTTGTCACCCCTCTGTGAATGTACATTAGGGACAGGATGCACCCTCAGGAGGATGGACCTGGGCTGGAGGCTTTGCAAGTCTTAAAAGTGGGCTTGGGCCAGTGAGGTGGAGGTTTCCAGGTTCTTAGGTACCTGAAGCATGATCAAGGTGAGTGTGGGCTCTGGGTGGACACAAATGCATTTCTTGTCCGAGTCTGTAGTGTCACTGTCATTTGGCCTTGTACCCCCAGCACTTAGCACAGCACCTGGAAGTTTAATGGACAGTTGTTGAGCAGATGTGTGTCTGGGTCTGTCTTAGTCCATTTTCTGTTGCTGTAACAGAATTCCACAGGTTGGGTGTCTCAGTCCGTTTTGCATTACTATAAAGTAATATCTGATACTAGGTAATTCATAAAGAAAAGAGGTTTATTTGGCTCATGGTTCTGCAGGCTGTATGAGAAGCATGGTGCCAGCATCTGCTTCTGCTGAGGGCTTCAGGGAGCCTCCAGTCAAGGCAGAAGTGAAGGGGGAGCAGGTGTGTCACAGGACAAAAGAAGGAGCAAGAGGAGGCACTGGGCACTTTTAAACAACCAGCTCTTGTGAACTAATAGAAATAGAGCCCATTATCACAAAGAGGTCACCAAGCCATTCAGGAAGGATCCTCCCCCAGGACCCCCAAGCACCTCCCACTCAGCCCCACCTCCAACCTTGGGGATCAAATTTCAACATGAGATTTGGAGGTGACAAATATCGAAACCATTTCACTGAGTGATATATAAAGAGAATAATTTTATTTTTTACAGTTCTGGAGCCTGGGAAGTCCAAGGTCAAGGAGCTGTGTCTGGTGAGAGCCTTCTTACTGTCTCATAACACGGTAGAGGGCATCACATGGTCAGATAGCAAGAGTATGTCAACTCAGGTCTCTCTTCCTCTGATACAGCCACTACTCCCATCATCAGGACCCCACCCTGATGACCTTATCTCATCCTATTTACCTCCCGAAGGCCCTGCCTCCAAATACCATCAACATATGAATTTGAGGATTAAATTTCAAACACATGAAATCTGGGGGACACTGTCAAACTGTAGCAGAGTCATTCACTGGACTGTCACACTTGGTTGGCTCGCCCAGGTCTGTCTTCATTCCCTCTCTTCCGGTAGGAGTATGGCTTTGTCATGACTCACCCTGGGCAGAGAGTAGAGCCAGGCTTCTAGTGGGAGACTCCACCTTTTCGAAATTCTTTAGTCCATTCCAGAAGTGAAGCCAGGAGTTCCGGAGGTGGGGGAAGGGGTGAGAAGAGCCCCTCCACCAAGTCTTGAGAGAAGATACCAATGGCCAACTTGGAGGTGGGGGGAGATGGTAGTTTGGCGAGACCTCAAAGGGGTATGGCCATGGGCTTCCCAGTCTCTCAGAAGATTCTCCCACCCCAAAGGTGGCCCAGGGGCAGGGGGCAAGAGACCTCAAGGTCCTTGTTAGCAAGAACATGGGGTCGGTTTCTTATTGGTACCTGGGTTTAAGTAAGGCCTCAAGATTTTTGCACAACTCCGGTGGAGGAAAGGAGGGAAGGAGGGGGAGAGTGAGGGGGATAACTGTTTATAACTGTTTATTATTGTTATGTAACCAACCCACTCGTTTCATAGCCCATAAATCTGCAGTTTTGGGTGGGCACAGCAGTGAAGGCTCTGCGCAATGCCGGCCGCTTAGAGGGTCCATTTTTAAGATGGCGTGCTCACATGGCCAGTTGTCGCTAGCTGTCAGCTGGGAGCGCAGCCAGGGCTGTGAACCAAAAGCCTCAGTTTCTCCCCATGAGGCCACTTCACAGGTTTGCTTGGGCTTCCTCACAACTGGGCTGTGGGTTAAGAACAAACTTAGAAGGGCGTGGCATTTTGTGACCCAGCCTTGGAAGTCACATGGCATCATTTCCTTTCCGTTTTGTTAGTGGAGGCAATCACAAAGGCTCACCTGGTTCGAGGGAGAGGGTGGCGAAGTTCTGGAAGAGCTTGTGGGACAGGAGATATTGTTGCAGCCACTTTAGGAAAATACCATCTGCCCCAAGTGGGCCCTGAGAATGGCTGGAGTAGAATTTCCTCTGATGGGGAGCTGAGAGTCCGAATTCAGTTGATTTAGAGGAAATGGTATACAATATGTCTTGCACAAGCACTTGTGCACAAATGAACAAGTCCAGCAATGGACAATTAGTCTTGAGTGCTTGGATTAAGATCTTCTTTCTTCAAGAGTCCTCAGAATAAAAGCAGCAACTTCCTCTCCTCAACCTGCATTTTCCTCAAAGTCAGAAGCTTCCATAGCACCCACTCAATCCTCATAGCAACAACCCACTTAATCCTTCTAGCAGCAACCCCATGAGGTGCATACTATTTTGTGCCCATTTCCAAGATGTGGAAATGGAGGCACTCGGATGCTAAGTAAGTTGCCTAAAGCCATACAACTGATAAGTGATGGAGGGAAGAGAAGTGACAGTTTA